AGGCAGCCGCGTGCTCCTGGATCCGCGCGGCGCGGTATCGCGCTCGGGCCGCGCTGGTATTAAATAAATTCTATCGAGCGGCGAATCGCGAATAGAAGTGGTAGCAAGTCTCGTTTGCGCCGGCCTGAAATTTTATGGTGATACAAATTAGATAGCGATCTCGAGTTACTCGGTTGGCGCGCGAGTACGCGGCCTTTCGTGTTGGACGTTCTTAGAACTTCGCAATAAGAAGCTGCGGAATGGAACGAGGCGAACGGGACGAGAGGGAGAGAAGAGGAGACGAGAAGGTGGAAGCTGGAAGAAGGGAACTGGGGAATGGCGAAGCGAACGGGAACGCGGGTGGACGAGATAACGCTGCCGCGATGGAGATTAATGGACTCGCGTTTCGGATGGAACGCGGTTCTAGGAAAATCGGATCGGTACGAGAGTTTCGGAAACTGTCGAGAGATCTGTACGCTCTCGAATGTTTCTCGTTCCGCGCGTCTCGTGGTACCTTTCATCGGACGATCCTCTGGGCGATGGTTCGCGCGGTGGAAATATCGTTCGAAGAGGACGGTAGCAGCGCGAGGCCGGCGCTTGCGCGTCAAACTCCCGGCCACCTTCCCTAGGTGCCGTTCCATTGAATCGTATCTGTCAATGGGGAACAATATGAGAAGCCGAGAAGGACAAAGGAACGAGCGAGCAACGCGCGAGGGAGAGACGGCGAGCTACCCGAACGGGCGTTCGCAGCCTCGCCTAAGTTATGCAGATTGTTCCGAACAGTTGGACTTTAATGCCGACATAAATCCTTTGCCACTTAACTTTATACTTCGAGAGTAGTATGCACTCCCACTTGGAGCGGCCGCGTCCTCCTCCCTCCTCGTTTCGCCCTCTCGGTCTAACTTTCGCCCTTTTCTCGCTCCGTTCGTCCTTTCTCGTTCCCCTTTCGACCTTCCCGCGCGGTCGTCTCTTTCCCCGACCGCTTTGCTCAGCGGCCGGTCCCCTAACGGATCATCGTGCTTCACTTTGCCACGCAGAAACGTCTCTTTCTGCGGCCGCGTGGGCGTCCTACCGACAAATTTATCTACCCGCGGCGTGACGCGGAGCGGCGTCGACTAGATTTCGAACGATCCCCCGTCTCGGCCGATGCGCGCGCGCGGCGAACGTCGAAACTCGATCCATCGATCGGGGATCGCGGGCCACGCTACCGTGTCCCGGACGACGAATCCGGAGCGGTTAACCCCTGCTTCGGGCAAAAAATCCCGTCCGGTCGAATCGATCCGGCAATTAGATTAAAGAACGAGGTCATTCGATAATCGTCGGCCACGTTGCTGAACGGCTGATTGGAATTGACACGGACCGATGAAATATAAGGAGGCGTACACGCGATTGCGTCGGCTCGTAACCTGTTCGCCACCATTCCAAATAGTACCGGCTAATAATCGCCGGTTGGCCTTCACTTCCGCCGAACGTTAAGGAGAATAAACGCTATAATTGGACTATACGAGCGTTGCAATTATCTCTCCCGTTTAATTTCTAGGGCACGCTGGCACTTAAATTTCATGTCTTCTTTTTTTCGATAAAATAAATATATCGCCCGAGATGCTGTCCCGATCTCATTTACGAGCAATCGTTTGCGACTTACCCTCGGAAACCGAGATAATGCTGTGCTCTGGAAAAGTCGGCTGATTGTCGTTGATGTCGATCACTCGGACGCTGAGCGCCGCCGTTCCGGTCAGTTGCGGATTCCCCTGATCCGTCGCGATGATCGTCAGCCTGTACTTCTCGCGGATCTCCCGGTCCAACACTATGTTGGTGCGCACCACGCCGCTGTACGGCGGGCTTATGGTGAAAGCGTTGTCCGGATTACCGTCAACGATGTGATAAAGGATCCTGCTGTTCATTCCCTGATCGGCGTCGCTCGCCGAGAGCTGCGCAGAACGAGAAGAGAGAACCATCAATTCGAGAGCTAGGTTACCGCGTCGAATAAACGCTGCCGGCCGATAACTCTTTCGCGCGTGTCCTACCTTCACGACAAAGTCGCCTTTCACGTTGCCTTCGAGCACGGTCGCCGAGTACTGCGTCTGCGTGAAAACGGGTGGATTATCGTTCACGTCGGACACCCTGACGACCACTTTCACGTAAGCCTCCAACGGGTCCGATCCGGTGGTCTTCGCGACCACGGTCAGCACGTGCTTCGAGCTCTGCCTCGGCTCCTCCTTGGACAGCTGTCCCTCCAGCGATCTGCCCCACGAGTTCACGCGTCCCTCCTCCGTTTGTCCTTCCGAGGGCCTCACTCTCATGTCGGTCCACAGCTCCGCGTCGAGCCTGGTCGGGTCGTTGACGCGGAGCAGTCCGGTGTCCTCGTCGATCGCGAACGTCCCGAAATCGTTCCCCGAGCCCAGGGAATAAGAAACGTGCTGCCTTCTGCCGTCGGACCGAACCGCGGTCACCTGCACCACCTCCGTCCCTGCCGCGGAATTCTCTTGGATCACCACCTCGTAGCTCTCGTTCCGAAACTTCAGAGCCGGCGACAGGTCCGCGAGATCTCCGACCTGCAGCTCGATCAACCCCCGAGCGCTCTTCGGCGGGTTTCCCTTGTCCCTGGCCAGAACTTCCAGATAATACGTCTTGCCGTTGTCCTGCGACAGGGACAGCGCGGCGGTGACCGCGCCGGTGCTCGGGTGTATCCTGAACTTTGGCTTTTCCTGCTCGTGCAGGAACGAGTAGACGATCTCCCCGTTCAGTCCCTCGTCGACATCGGTGGCCACCACGCGCAGGATGTTCTTCTCCGGCTGCGTGCCGATGGAGACGCGCGCGCGGAACGGATACTCCGCGAAGACGGGTGCGTTGTCGTTGACGTCGCTCACCCGAATCTCGACGGGGATGGAGGTGCTCTTGGCGTCGTACTTGCCGCTGTCCGTGGCCACCACGACGAAGTTGTACGAGCTCTGTCGCTCGCGATCCAGCGACCTGCAACAGAGACGATCGTGAGGAATCGAGTCGCGCGATAATTACAGCGGGACAAGGTAAACAAGCGATTCCACGGCGAAGCCCGGCCCGCGGGGAGGACGAGACGCGACGCACGAAAATTACGCTCAGTTCGGAGCTCGTTCGTGCGCGCATCAGATGCATCTTTAATACTGATTTATCGGCCAATAGACGATTGTTCGAATCCGGGGAACGGGCCGGATTTAAGCGGAAGGTGGCGACGCGGCGGTGCGGCGGCGGGCAGCTTGTTTGTGTGACGGAAGCCTTAATCGCGCACGGCGATCTTGTGTAATCCACGTCCGCCATTACCATAACTCTGCGGATCCTCCGTGGCGGCTCACCGACCGCCGCCGCCGCCGTCGCCGCCGCGGCCGCGGCCGCAGCCGTTTCGTGTCTTAAATCGCACGAAAGCTGGGGGAGGTTGGCTGCATTTTCGCCGTTGCCAACCGAGCGAATTTAACGTCCCCGTCGCCGTGAGCTATATACCCGGAGAAACCGCTGCTTCGACTTACATTAGACGGCGACGAGTAACGAGACACATCGAATCTAGAAGCGTTCTAGATATTACGACCACATTAGAAGCGAGCAAATTTCGAAGAATGTTCGCTGCTATACAACATGGATCTTCGATTTCTCAGTGACCCTTTGACGACAGACGTTGAGACGCACCGATCACACGGAATTCACTCGACGTACACCGAGGCGAAACATTTTAAACGATATTTCTAAGAGTCTTTAGGCGCCTACAGTGTCACAAGTTTTCTTCTTTAGGCATAATTAGTGATCAAAAGGTTAATACCGATTAAACGAGTCGCGACCGTCGATGCAACATACACAGAAGCCTGACGTACAAAGCAGAGAACACGGTAGAAGTGTTCCTCTTAGATTGCAACAAATCGATGCACAGCTACACAGCGCACCGCGCGATAACCGCGGCGGGAACTCTATTACTCCACGTGTTCTTATCTGCGTCCGTTACGCTAAACGTTCAAAATTATCCTCGCGTTAGCGTTCCGGCCGCACTAACCCCTCCGTGGGGCATGCGTAGCGCGATTTCCGTGCCGCGGCGGCGCACAGGTACGCCGGCGGATTTTTCAGCTCCGTTTTCCGGCCCACGCTCGCGTTTCCCACGCGAACGCGTTCGCGGAACGGCTCGACGTCTCTATCGGGCGCACGCTAATTCTAATCTAATTATACTATCGCGGCGAATTTTTCGCTCGACCCGTTCGAATGCATAATTCGGTCTCATTGAACGGGCAACATTCAATCGGGGACCCGGGATTTTCGCGCGACGTCAGATGCCGGCGATAACCGCACCGGGCCGGGCGTAATTTATCGAATCGGCAAACTTTGTCTTTATTAGCGGGCCCCGCGGAGTCACGCGAACCCATGCGAATTCGCGGCCGGCCGATAAGCACCGGCGCGCCGGTCGGGTCGCCGC